TGGGCCTGGCCTGAGGACTCCTCCCGGGCGGAGCGGGGTGGGGCCCGAGAGCAGCACGCAGGTAAGGAGGGCCCGCCCCCAGGCTCCGGTCTGACTCTAGTGGTTTGACTTCGTCTACACCGGCGGTGGCAGGGAGGACCCTTAGTATTTCGCAAAGAATGAGAGAGGGCAGGATCTGAACAGGGTGCCTCGCGGCCCTTAGGTGTATCCCGCTCATGGCCAGAAAGCTTCGAGGGAAACTAGAGACCTTCCTCGGGGTGTGACACCTGCGGGCTTGGACTTCACCAGTGACCCGGGTTCGAATCCTGTTCTCCATTTTACGAACTTTGACTTAGGGCAGGTCACTCCTGTGCCCCAATTTCCTGATCGTTGAAACAGGGCCGTGGCGGCGTCCACCCCAGAGGGTGGAAGTGGGTTAGATGAGCTCACACATGCAGAGCGCCTTGCAGAGGCCAGCACTGGGAGATTGCAGCGGTTGTTGAAAGTGGGAACTCTTGGCTGGACTCTTAGGTGACTGAACTCTCCTGGCTGATGGATTTAGCCACTTCCTACTTCACCCTGGCCCTCCTTCTGTGGTCCTAAACTCGAAAGGCGTGGATCCCTGGCTGTCACCCTAGACTTGACTTCCCCCCACAAAGTTGGTCACCAGTCCTAGTGCCTTTTCCTCCAGATCAGCTCGGATGTCTGCCCCTCCTCCCTCCCCACTGCCACCCCCTGGCTTCAGGTCCCACCACTTCACCTCTAGCCCTTGGTGATGGTTTTCCCACTTCTTGCATCCATTTTCCCCCAGACCTCTGGGGTGGTCTGTCCTGGTAGACATCACACCACTCCTGTCCCATGCTGGCACTCTTCCCTCCCCCACCTTATTGTCCCTGGCAGCACACCCAGACTCCTATTCCCAGGACTGCCCTGGCCAGTGGTCTAGCCATTGATGCTGCCCTGAGGTCCTCCCACCTCTCTCCCAGGGTGGTGGGTCCTGTCCTGCTGTGTTCTCTACCCCAGGACACTTGCGACACTTCCAGAGGTTTAGT